TCGTCACCGTATTTCAGGTAAGTTGCACTTAAGTGTGAATAAAAATAATCATTTCCTCTCTGTGTAAATTATAAGAGGGAAAATGACAAAATGCAGGATGCCTTTCATGAATTGTGTTTCAACGCTTAATGTGCTCGAAACGTCGTCGGCTTCTCTGGGCTCGAGCTCCTCTTAGGTGGACTGATGCAAAGTGCAAAAGTTAGCTGTGGTCTGACGAGTCCACGTTTCAAATTGTGATTGGAAATCGTGGACCATCTCGGCCCAAGAGCAAACAGAGGGTCATACGGCTTGTTATCAGGGCAAAGTTCGAAAGACAGTTAGTGAAAGGTGCCATCTCGGCCCAAGAGCAAACAGAGGGTCATACGGTTTGTTCGAAAGACAGTTAGTGAAAGGTACATCGAGATTTTGGAGCAACGCGCGGCATGCTGACATCCAAGCAATCCGATATTTTTTCAGGGACGTCACTTCTCCTTTCAGAAAGACGGTGCCACGCCGCTTTCTGCCACGTGTTGGGACAGTGTGGCTTCGTGGTGAAAGAGTGCGATCACTGAACTTGCCATCTCAAATCAAAACTGGAGCTTGAGTTGACGTCCTCGCGACATTCAAGATGCATTCTCATGAGCCAAACCTCTTTGCCGAACTTTGCTTATTCGTCAAAGGCTGACAAGCGAATTGTTCTCACGCGCACCCACCCACCCTTTGTCGAGTCCGCGACTATTTTCTCTTCTCACCTGCGCAGAGAGATGCTGTTCTACATCTCGGGCTAAACTTGGATGTCTCTCTATGCTACATGTAGGAAAGAGAGATGCTGAAGAAGCACGTATGCAGGCTTGACCGTCCTGTGCCGCAGCACTGTATACTCGCTGTAGTTGTGCGGAAGATACACACTCGCGACACAAACACGCGCACGGATGCCGCCAAACTAACAGCGCCGTGAAATACCTCCCTGCCACGGGCTTCGAGTGGGCCGAGAGCTTTCACGCCGCATCATGAACAGTGTCCTAGTTTTAAATGCTTTCATCTCTGGCATTGGTTTCAAAGCGACCGCGCATAAAAACACACGCGCACATTTTCGCGCACACGCTGCGCGCGCACGCTCGCATGGAGCTTGCTTGTCATTTTATCGTAATCCCTGGTGGAAAAAGTTGAAGAGGCGTTCCATGATGGCAGTGAAAGTAGCTCCTCTCAGGATGAAGCATTCTTAAGTCCTGCAATGGTATAAAAGTTTCTAGGTCTTTTTTTTTTTTTCAGTATCCCCCCCCCTCCCCACCCCCAAAAAAAGTCACATTGTCATGATGGTCTTTTTATTTCCCAAGTTGCTGTGTTTAGCGCCATAAGAGGTGAGAACGTGCGCTTTATTGAATGTGCAGATTTTAACCCAGGAGGATTGGAACGTGGTGTTGTACAACGGGATGGCCTCCACCTCGCCCTGGGCGGCCCTCTACTTTGTTGCCCTGATGACATTTGGAAACTACGTGCTTTTCAACTTACTGGTGGCCATCTTGGTCGAGGGCTTTCAGGCTGAGGTGAGTAGCATCGTTTGAAGCGTGGGTACTTTGGCTCGGTGTTATTTTGTGTTTGATACGTTTGAAAGTAGAGGAGCTGTTTCAAGAAGAACGAACGAGATCTTCATGATCGACGATGCTCACTTTTGGCTAACGCTGTCCCAGAAATGTTGATGCATTTTCGTGTTTAACATGGTGGCTGTAATTCGCAGTGATGAACGGCATCATTGGGTGATTTCATTGAGCTTATTTTGAAACCGCGCTACCTTGATTCTGACGGAACAGACAATTGTCCAGCCAAGGCGGGTTTATTGCGCTAATATTGCCAGGACAAGAGAGAACAGATTTATGTTTACCTGTGAACAACAACAACTCTCGTTCACCGCAGTGTGCAGCGTAATGGCCTTGTCTTGCCGTTAATAAACTCCCAGTTGAGCCATTCCGGGGCCACAGGTGCAGCCTTTCAATTCCGGAAATGTCACTTCAAGTTGAGGCATCACTGTTTTTAAAAGGGGGGCAAAAGGATGAAGATTACGGTCAACCGGTACCGCAAACTCCAATCAATTGGATGATCAATCTTTCGTCTTCCATCCCGGTTACGGTGGGCCGCCCTGGCGCGCAGCCCACCTCCAGGCAGGCCACTGGCTACCGTGATTCATTCCCTGGCCTGAGACATTTTGAATCTGTTAACAGCACCAACCTGACACGCTTCATTTGGCCTTCTGACACGAAGGAGCTGTTTGGCGGTTTAAAAAAAGCAAGACAAAAAGATGATGGCCTGTGGAAAAAGTCCTGGGCACCAAAAATGCATTTGTCCACACACAAACTGCCATACAGGTCTCCAAAAACGGAATTTGGTCCATTATTTACTGAGTGCTGAAGAACTCAACCGCTTACTGACAATTTGTCAGTTGGAATATCAATGCAATATTTGTGTCTTAGGGCGACGCAAATCGCTCCGAGTCAGACGACGAGAAAAAGTCTGATAACTTTGAGGAGGACGAAAAAGTAGAGCAGCTCAGAGACACGGGTAGGTGAATTGTTGGTTAATGCATTCGTGTCCCATCTCAGCTAATGCCTCATGACAAACAGCCGCAACGCACTATTGCATCTGGAAAAAAAAAAAAAAGCGTCACCTATCTCCTCTACAGAGCTAAAGATGTACACGCTGATGATGACAGCCAATGGTCACGTCGACCCTCGCAGTTCCATGGCTCCTCCCATAATCATGCGAACAGCAGCCACGCCCATGCCCACTCCAAAGAGCTCTTTAGGTCCAGAGTCCTACCTGGAGGATGATGTCATGGCCAGAGAGGGAGTTCTGCAGTACGGAGAGGTCGGCGCTCCTGAGGCGGGGACCGCCCACCACCAGTCTCGCCGTGGAAGCTCCACCTCCATGGACGCCTTGACGTGTGATCAGAGATCTTTGGTAAGCTTTCAAAGTCAGCGTCGCATTCCATAATGTGGCGCTGAGTCCATGTCGTTCCTGTTCCTGCAGAGCCACTCCAGTCCGGCACGCCGCTCCCCTCTCCTTCCTCGCGGGTCCAGCTCGTGGGGAAGCCGTCGTTCCAGCTGGAATAGCCTGGGAAGAGCGCCCAGCCTCAAAAGGCGAGACACCAGCGGCGAAAGAGAGAGTCTGTTGTCCGGAGAGAGAGCAGAGGACGAAGATGGCGTGGATGACAACGCCGATGCCGGCGGGTGTGACAACAGAATCCAGCCGGACCCCTTGGAGCTGCTGCAGGCCTCCACTCTCTGCCCCGCCATCGCGGCCCAATATGGCGACTGCAACGGGGGGATCATGACTTACGCTTCCAATGTGAACACTGACTCCAAAGACGACTCCTTGCCGGAAGATGACATTGATGATGACGTAAGTTGCAGCGAGTCTTCAATGTCATGTATGTTTTGGGGAAATCTACCAGTAGATGGGATGGAATCTTCCTGATGACATTGGACAGAGGAATTGGGCCTTGCCTCTTTTAGCGAAAAATCCGCGAGTGATTGAGGCCTCCCTAGAAAGAATTAGAATTGCTTACGGATGCCGCAAAATGGCTGGTTTCAATTGAATTTTTGGACTCAGATTGAAATCCAGATCTCTCTAATTGAACAGAAAGCTATTACTCTGCTGTATCAATTGCAACAGGTTTGCTTCTTCCATTGAGAGCAACAACATTTAATTGTTCCGCCGGTCACGAGCATAGATCGATGATGTAAGCAAGAAAAATCATCATTTTGGAACCGATTTAGTGATATCAGATCGTTTTCCGCGGCACCCCCGATGACTGTCCCGACACATTTTGGTTTTGCGTGAGCTTGGTTGGGAGGCACTGATTTAGATCGTGAGCAAAGGTGTTCTATCAGTTCATTTTTAAAACGTATTTTTTGTTCCGCAACATGAAGAAAATGTGTTGACAGTATGTCTGTCGTGTCGTACGCTAATGCTGACGTATATCGCGCGACTCATGCAGAGTTCTCTTTGCTACGTGATCAAGAAAGAGCTCGCCAACTTGAAACCTCGCTGGTGCAAAGAACACGAAGAATGGACGTTGTATTTGTTTTCACCGGAGAACCCGTGAGTCTCTTTTGCTTTCCTTGCCGCTCCGTGTTCCCAATTTTCCTCGCCCCGAAATGCCGATGAAAATTCACGGATGGGATTTATTTCGTGTTTCCCGATTTAGATTCCGCGTGTGGTGCCAAAGCGTGAGCTCTCACAAACTGTTTGACCACGTGGTTCTGGTTTTCATCTTCCTCAACTGCATCACGATCGCTCTGGAAAGACCCAACATCCAGCCTCACAGCACGGTAAGACGCGGAGATCGAACCCGTTTCGAGTTCATCGGAAAATAGTCGCCCGATCTTAAATAGGAATGTCAATGTCTACTGAAAAGCATGTAGCTCCGTATCTTTAAAATTGCTGAAGCTTTTTGAATTTTCCAATACAAGACAAAATTATCGCTAATCAATTCCCCGATTCTTCACCTCTGATGTCTTCACCTGTAGGAACGAATATTCCTCGGCGTGTCCAACTACGTTTTCACTGTGATCTTCCTCGCAGAGATGGCCATCAAGGTAATTACCGCCGTTTGTTCCGTCGCACTTTTGAAGAACAATGTTGCCACGGTTACCGTGAAAAGGTAACTGTGTTGCTTTTACCGATTCATTGCCAAATTAACGAAATGCTCTGCAGTGACGAAGTGCGACTTTTCAAAGTGGCTGTAGTTTGATTACTTCACCGAGAGAAGTAGATTGGTCATTACTGTAAACATTTTTAAAAAAATAGATTTTTAAAGTAACCGGCATCGCTGTTGAAGAATGCGGTTCAACGCATGAAGTGAGTTCCAGTTGTGTTGATGTCATCGTTGTGCGCTTCCATGTCAGGTGGTAGCGCTCGGATTCTGTTTTGGGAAGCAGAGCTACCTTCAGTCCAGCTGGAACGTTCTGGATGGCGTCTTGGTGTTTGTGTCTCTGGTCGACATCCTGGTCTCGCTGGCATATTCCGGAGGGAACCGGATCCTGGGCATCCTCCGAGTTTTACGCTTGCTGCGCACATTGCGCCCGCTCAGGTACAGAGGGAGTTTGGACATTTGGAATATCTAATGCGCCCCTTAAATCAAGGGAACACAAGCATGCGGGCGTTATTACTGTTGCTCATAAAGTTTGAAATAGTGTTACAACTGAGTCCTAAATATTTCATCCAGATACTGACCTCAGGAAGGTGCCATTACTTTCCATCGGCAATGTGATTCTATGACATATTGTACATTCCTGAAATTAAATCATAAGAAACCTGCACGGACATGGCGTTTTGTTTTGTGTCCTCCAGGGTGATCAGTCGGGCGCCGGGGTTAAAATTAGTGGTGGAGACGCTCATCACTTCTCTTCGGCCTATCGGCAACATTGTCCTCATCTGCTGTGCTTTTTTCATCGTGTTTGGCATCTTGGGAGTGCAGGTAGTTCTCCACGAACACTTTCGATATGATCAGCAACAGAGCCAATGTGTGGGACTTCCTCATGCTCTTCGAATTAATCGTTGGATGGGGAAATGAATATCGTCTTGCTTCTTGTTTCTCTCTAGCTATTCAAAGGGAAATTCTACCACTGTGAAGGTCCTAACACCAAAAACATCACCAACAAGTCAGACTGTCTCCTCGCCAACTACAGCTGGATACGAAGGAAGTACAACTTTGACAACCTGATTCAGGTATTGGGGGGGGGGGGGAAGTGGTTCCAGAGGGCAATCCACAGATTTCCGTGAAAGGCAAACAGATGTGCTGACCTTCCATTTCTGTTTTTCCAATCCAGGCTCTGATGTCCTTGTTTGTCCTGTCATGTAAGGACGGCTGGGTCAATATCATGTACGACGGCCTGGACGCGGTGGGAGTGGACCAACAGGTAAAGTGCTTTTGCTCCATTTTGAATCATAATGAAGAGAATCGAATGGGACTGTCATCTCCAAAGTCACTCACTGGTTTTATGTTTTTCAAGACGACTTTGTTTTCGCCGCGCTTCTTTTTTATAGTGCTGTATGAATCAAGTTGGACTTGAGTACATCCTCATCTTACGGTTTTTGAAGTCAGACTTCCTGCTGTGAAATGTCCCAAAATTTTCTTTTGTCATTTTTTTTCTTTTTTTAACCATGACAAATGCAAGCACACCCGATTGGAATCAAATGATGACATTGCAGTGTCCTGACAGACCGAAAGGTGTCCGCTAACGCAACTTCTCTTCTCTTTTTCAGCCTGTGAGGAACCACAACCCGTGGATGCTGCTCTACTTCATTTCCTTTCTGCTCATCGTCAGCTTTTTTGTCCTCAACATGTTTGTCGGCGTTGTGGTGGAGAATTTCCACAAGTGCCGACAGGACCAGGAAGAGGAGGAGGCCCGTTTACGGGAAGAGAAGAGGCTCAAAATCATAGAAAAAAAGCGCAGGAGTAAGGAGAATGGAGGGGCTGGTCGGTAGTCTATTTTTCTGAGCACTGCCTGCTTTCAGAGCCTGAAAAAAAAAACGAAATGAAGGGAAATTTCAGACGTCCAGTGAATAAAATAGGGAGAGATTCACAGACTGGCGAGCTCACACTGACAAGGCGTGGGCTACACCACTCTGTCGCATGAAATTGCATGACTGTTACCCAACCTTCCCTTAACACTGCATGCTAAAATCACAAGAAATCTAATCTTGCATTCCAATCATCCATGATGGGAACACATGTGCATGCTACACCTTTTTTAAACTATAAAACAAAAAAAAAACAACCCCCCCCCCAAAAAAGCCAGTACAAATTGTTTCTTGGAAACGTTCAAGAGCAAATGAACAAATTAACAAACAAGAACAAAAAAAAAAAAAAAAAACTGCTTTCCGTGCATGTTATAACGAATTGGGCGCTACTTTGCTCATGAGAGTGTTCGGAATTTCTGTTTGGTCAAAAGCCAACGTCCCCTCGTCCGTTGTGCGACCCGGAGCGGAGGCATGTCATCACACGGGTCGGACATTCCCTGGTAACACGCTTTGACTGGCAGACTCAGAAACATAGCAGATTCTGTTACTGCTAAATCGTCGCCTAGACTGTATGTTGACTTCAGCAGACCGTATATGAATGTGCAAATGAAGAAAACGCTTCTTGCTGGCAGAAACACACCACCGAGCGCAAAAAAAAAAAAAAAAAGCACATTTGAAAATATTTCCACTGTCCCGATACGTGAGGTCAAAATGAAAGGAAGCGGTGGATCGTCACTCGTCTTCTGTGCCACCCGAAGGCAGTAGATGGTGTGATCAGTTTGTGTTTTTCCCCCACCGCTCGAAAACTGTTCCACCTTCCACAGAGCCGCCATTTTCGTACATTGTCGCGATGTTCTCATGCCGGTGTTTGGCCGTCATCTGAGCAAGGAAAAACACGTTCTGGACAACTTGAGTGTCAGCAATTCAGGTTCTGGTTGAAAATTTCACGTGGCTGCTTGGGTGTTCAACTTCACAGTGCGGATCCGAAACTTGATGACATTTACTCATGACGCGATTGGAGGTGCAAATACTGCGTTCATGACCGAGAAAGAGAAAAAAAGTGTGTTGTTGAACAAACCTTCGGTGAGCCCTCCCAGTGAAATTTGTTTCAGCGCAAAAGGCATGTGAGCACGTTGGAGACCTGCCGTCATGCATACATTCCATCTCATTCATATGGACACGGGAATCGTGCAAATCAAAACAACATTCATGCTACCTAGTTTGGACATGAATCATATAGATACGAATATACCTCAGTTGTGTCCAAAAACGTGCCCTCAGAAAGAACAATGATGCTCCGTTTTGATCGGCACCGTAGGACAGTTGTTCATGAAACGGTTTATCATCATGATTGTCTTCAATCACAACTATCTGCAGATTTAGAGTCAGAGATGATGTACCGGAATGGCCTCTAGCCGTCAATAAGAAAATGAGGCATACGCCCTCACTTACACATATGGTAGTATATTTAATCACCAAAATAAAATCACACTTGATGGTTTAGATTCATAGTTGAAGAACGCGTTATCATCCACTAATGAATCACATTTGGTCACAAATAATCCAAGCCATCATTACGTTGACTCCAGTTGCTTCATGCAAATGGCTCATGTCCTGCTTAACGTGGGTCTCTTGCGAAAGCAGTGGTGTGCACTAACTGTTTTTAGGGGACGGGTGAAAATTAGTGGCACGCGCCTAAAAAAAAAAAAAAAAAATGTACTTCATTGTACCTTTATGGCTTGTCACTGGGGCGTTCGCATCCCTTTATTTTTACAGCTTTGCAACCTACGGTATCTTTTTCTGGCTTTGGAAGATGTTTGAAGTGGAAAAATGCGCCCCACGGGTCCCATTAGTGTAGAATGGAACTTGAAGGACTGAAGTGGACTCCTGTATTGCAGAACTTCAGAAACAAGTGTGATGCTTGCCATCCTTTTTCCCTAAAGCTCTCGGTGCACACCACTGGGCCCTTTGACACACACATTTGATTCTCTCTCACACTCCTCTTTGTGTGTGTGTGTGTGTGTGTGTGTGTGTGTGTGTCACTTTTTGTGTGTTTCTCTGTTGCTTTTCACCTGCCTGTGCTCCAGAGGCCAAACAGAGGCCCTACTATGCTGATTACTCCACCCCGCGTTTGACCATCCACACGCTGTGCACCAGTCACTACCTGGACCTCTTTATCACCTTCATCATATGCATCAATGTGTTCACCATGAGCATCGAGCACTACAATCAACCCCTGGTAAGGCCTCCGCCCGTGCACAGAAACATTACAGCCGATATGTGAAATGTCGTCAAATAGCCAATTTAAATTCATAGTTTCCTGTTTCGTTGCCTTCAGTGAACATTTGCACTGAGAACTTGTGGCAACGTGACAGGGCTGCTCTGAGTTGAGATGATTGTTTGCCTGTGTGTGTGTGTGCGTGTGTGTGTGTGTGTGTGTGTGTGTGTGTGTGTGTGTGTGTGTGTGTCTCCAGTATTTGGAGGAGGTTTTGAAGTACTGTAACTACGTGTTTACCTTCATCTTCGTCATTGAGGCCCTCCTTAAGCTTGTGGCATTTGGGATTCACCGTTTTTTCAAAGACAGGTAACAACGTTTCAGCGTATCGCAGCATTTTTGATAAATTTACCAATCCATGCCAAAGCCATTCAAAAAAACTCGATCTGAGAGTCCTGATGTCCTTTTTTGTTCTGTTGTTTGTTTGCTTAGGTGGAACCAGCTGGATATAGCTATTGTGGCTTTGTCCATCATGGGCATCATCCTGGAGGAGCTGAAAATGAGTGCAGCTCTTCCTATAAATCCGACCATCATCCGAATTATGAGAGTACTCAGGATAGCACGAGGTAGACGCACACATGCCGGCACGCATGCGCACGTTCGCACTACCAGAATTGGGGTTATGTGCTCCCTATGCCGAGCTCCAGTTAGGAGACGACCGGCAGCATTTTGGACCAACTGGAGACGTTTGCGGGAGGATTGTCTGACTCCAAAATAAAGTGCATTCGAGCAGTCTAGCCGAAATGTAACCCAAGTGCTGCTGAGAAAGGAAGGGCGTTGTCTTAGCCAGCTGCGCAAGATGAAAGAAGCTGATAACTGAATGTCATTAATTTCATTTAATGATCGCATTGTGTTGAGCTGTCCACTGTAGCGACCGCTGTCCCTGAAAGGGTTAATCTAAATCGGGCTTGCTTTTTCGGGGATGATGAAGTGCTCACAGTTTGACAGCCACTGAGAAGCAAATTGGCCAAAAGACATCAGAGACTTCATTGTGTGTAAAGTGCACCGCTGAAGGCATCGTCACTGTCTCTTCTGCAGTACTTAAACTCCTCAAGATGGCCACAGGCATGAGATCTCTGCTGGACACTGTCATGCAAGCCCTGCCACAGGTAGGAGATTTGTTTTCGTTTTCTGGATTCTATTTATGGAGCATTTCGTGCCATGGTTCACGTAGCAGCTCAACGTGTTAGTTAGCGACTCCATTGCTGAGCTATTTTCCAAATGTCACGTGCAGATGAGGTTACGGAGGGCAGAAAATGTCTCAAGCTCGAAAGAACATCAAATACCAGGACGCCTTGTGAGATTGCAATCAGGAAAGATCAATTTACTTCACTTCAAAATTTGTGCGAGCAATTTTGGGGCTGGACTGTAAAAGATGCAGGAAACAAACTCTCATGTCACTTCTTGTTCATTATGTGTGAAGCAAGGCCAATAAAAGCACGGCGGTATCTGTGAACAGCAGAAAATGCACAATCGACGGACTGTATGACTGTATGATCGTGCTAATGATTTTCGGGTTTGCTGGGGAATATCTAAAAATAATAAGTGGGAAGGGTATTGGCATAGTCATAAAATAGGGAAGGTTCATTTGAATATATTTCATCATATTCTGGTTTGGCCAATAAAAGCACGGCGGTATCTGTGAACAGCAGCAAATGCACAATCGACGGACTGTATGATCGTGCTAATGATTTTCGAGTTTGCTGGGGAATATCTAAAAATAATAAGTGGGAAGGGTATTGGCATAGTCATAAAACAGGGACGGTTCATTTGAATATATTTCATCATATTCTGGTTTCTCATTAGAACGGAGATAAAGAGCAAAAATGGCGAGTACGTTAATTAAAGACAGATCGACTAAAACCCTTCCTTCTGCATGACGGTCGATCCCAGTTCACACTGGCACGTTCCCATTGTTGGAAAGGGAACTAACATCTCTTTTACCTGCAGGTGGGAAATCTTGGTCTCCTCTTCATGCTGCTTTTCTTCATCTACGCCGCCCTGGGAGTGGAGCTCTTTGGCAAGCTCGGTACGTCAAAACACATCACTCGACTCCCATCTGCTTCTGTGCCACGAAAATATAAGGGAGCTGTTTCGCGCCGGAACAAAATGTAATTGGCATCGTCCCGTTTATTTACGAATTGCTTCCTCAGTTAGACCATCTCCCCCAAACACATTTGTTGTCAGACAAAAACACCCTGTTTTTGTCACCGTATGAAAGGAGGCATTTTCGCAAGATTTTTTTTTTTTTTTGTGTGTGTTTTTGTCAAAGTCTTTTGAATTTCTATGCATTTATTTCTTTATTTTTTGCTGGCGGTAGCTTAAAATGTTCTTCCTTTTGAGGCATACTTTTGATTTTCCGCCACTTTGGGGCATTTGACCTTAGTGTTCTCCACTGTTTTGTAACTGTGTCCATCTTCGTGGCTCCTCAATGAATGAGATTGTCCTTGTGTGTTTATTAGAGTGCAATGACAGCAATCCCTGCGAGGGTCTCAGCCGTCACGCTACCTTTGAAAATTTTGGGATGGCCTTCCTGACACTGTTTCGAGTGTCCACTGGAGACAACTGGAATGGCATTATGAAAGTACGAACACACACAGCTTTGCACACGCTTGCGCACTCACATGATAGAAATGACCTCCAAAACCAATTATGGAATAATAAAGAACTGAGCAGTCTAAGTACTTTCACATCTTGACTTTTACTTCACCCAAAAAAAGAAGAAAAAAAAAACGTGATTCATGATGTTATCCCAGACGATGTGAATCATATTAGGGAGACAATGTTATTCAAGACAAGGACAATCTGGCGAACTTCAAGACGGTGCTCAAATGCAATATAATCCAAGCGGCAGTAGATTAGGAAGCCAAGCCGCCTTCAAGAACCAATGCGGAGATGACGCTCCCGCTTGAGTGAGTTTAGACAGTAAGATTCATGAAGGCGCACTGAAGTCTTAATGTGTCATGAAACTTTGAAGATACTTGTTTTTGAATGTGGTGAATCGAGTCGGTAACAAACTCGTTGAGCTGCTACATGAAACTTGGCGTGAAATGCTCCATAAATAGAATCGCACACAAAAAAAAACAACTAATTTCAGTTGTAAATGTAGGCCAGCGCTTGTGATTGTTCACGGGCCAGCAGCGAAAACGTTCCTGACCACGACGGCTGGCCACTGAAATCAAGTACTGTGTTAGTGGAAATTCTACAAGCAAGTTGAAAAGGAGACGACACAAAAAAAAAAAAAAAACACAGTCCTGTGAGAGAAGAAAATTGGAGCCTTTTCTTGCCTACATTAAGCAAACAAAACGTGTCCTCAATCTTATTGAGCACCTGCCTGCAATGTCATTTTTGTCTTCAGTCTCGCTTTGGAATAAATAAAAATAAACACCATCTGTGCAGCGACTTAACATGACTTCGAGGCTCTTATGGTACTAAATAGTATGACATTCAAGTTGAACATTTTTTTTTTTGTGAAAATGTGCCTTTGCTTCTTTTTCTTGTCTTGGCTTCCTATTGGAACTCTACTTTCCTCAGGACACATTGCGAGAATGCCATCCAGAGGAGCGTCATTGTCTCGCCTACCTGCCTTGGGTCTCTCCCATCTACTTTGTCACCTTTGTGCTCATGGCCCAGTTTGTGCTGGTCAACGTGGTGGTGGCTGTGCTGATGAAGCACCTGGAAGAGAGCAACAAGGTACACCTTCGAACGTCCCTTTCGACTCACCTTGCGTCATGACGGCCCCTTGTTCGGCAGTCTCATATTATTAGGATGGACCTCCAAAATTTCCAAGCACATGGAGGTATGTTTATGTTCATAGGAAGCGAAAGAGGATGCGGAAATGGATGCGGAAATCGCCATGGAAATGGCGATGGAGCAGCAATGCAGATTGAGCACGACTTCCAGCAACAGCTCAGGCGCAGGGACCTTTGTTGGGCCGTGTCCACAATCGCCCGGCCAGGTAGCTGCCACCTTTCATCCCTCACACCCTGTCAAGCAATTAACAAATCCATCCATCCATCCATTTTCGAATCCGCTAAACCTCAGGAGGGTCGCGGACGTGCTGGAGCCTACCCCAGCTGTCTTCGGGCAGTCGTCAGTGTTCACCCTGAAGTGGTTGCCAGCTAATTGCAGGCCACACAGAAACGAACAACCGTTTTGGGCTCACACTCACAAGTAGATACAATTTAGAGTGTTCAATCAGCCTGCCATGCATGTTGTTGGAATGTGGGAGGAAACCGGAGCACCCGGAGAAAACCCACGCGGGCACGGGGGAGAGAACATGCAAATTCGATGAACAAGTCACGATATTCAATTGAAGTTAGAGTCTCACTTCGTGCCAACTCGTAAAAACTCTTGGGTTCCTTTTATGTCTCGGAAAAACAAGTGCGCAAAACAGGTGTGGGTCAGATGAGGTGGATCAGGACTTCAATACTGTGAAAGTGATTCGAAAGCGTTGATGAGTGCGTGGTTGCTTTTCGATTTTAGCGTGCGGTCTCTGTCTCCCCCTAAAGGAGGAAGCGGTGAAGTGTGGTGATGAGGATGCACAGCAAGTATCCGAGAAGATGTCTGTATCCAGGATGCACTCGCTGCCCAATGACAGCTACATGTTCCGACCTGTGAGACCTGCGAGCGCTCCTTCCCCTCTGGAGGAGGTGGACGGCAGTGCTCAGGACCAGCATTCGGGTAACAGAGTTATTCTGTGACTTCAGAAAATAATGTCTGGAGCAGTACCCGACCGATGCACCTTTTCATATCATTGGGATGCCCCAAGCCAAAATGTAAAAATACATTTTGGTATATGGCAACTGCGAATAAACGATGCTCAGATGGACTTTTTTTATGAGTCGGTGCACCGAATTCCAAACCTGCTTTTGTCTCCTTCTTCAGGCTCGCTGACCTCGGTCCGTTCGCAGCCGTGCGAGAGTCGCACTCTGCTGCAGGTTCCTGATCTTTCCCCCGCTCATCCCCGGCTGCCGCAAACCGTCAACCTGCCTCGCATCGCCCCGCCCATGCCCCACCCGTCTCCTCGGGCCCTGCGCCGACAGGTGAGACGTCACATCCAATGACCCCCCTTTTTGAGGAATCTGTCGTTTGGAGTTGTGAGCACTGACAGCGCATCAACCTGGATTTGATTTCGCAGGTGGCAGTTAAAGTGGATCCTGCGGAAGTCCAAACTTGTGAGCAACAGGAGAGGTCGGACTCCATCGGTCTTCCTCTGCCGTCCCCTTCATCGCATTCTCCCCTTAACCCCGCCCCTTCTCCCCTGCCCCCTCCCCCTTCTTCCTCCCCCTCGGCTCTTTCCCTCCCACCCTGCTCCCCTTACCCGTTTCCACTCCCTTCCCTGTCTCCGTCCCCTCTCCCGCCTTTACCGTCCTCCCCATCCTCCCTCCCTCCTCCACCGTCGTCCCCCTCGCTTCTTCTCCCCCCGCCTCGCTCGCCGCGCTTCCCGTCGCGCAGCGCCAGCCTCCACCGCCCCAGACCGCCTTCCGCCGCCTCCCTCTTTGACCCGGCTGATGAGGAGGTGTGTCACATCATCAGCTTGGCCCGCCACAGACAGATCGCCGAACTGGGAGGCGGACAGGAGAGCAGAGCGAAAGCGGGTCGAAGCCACTCCCTCTCTCCGTACACTGACTCGACCTCGTCGACTCCTCCCTCCTCATTGCCGCGGCCGTCGTCCAGGAGCCTGCTCGGAGCGGAATCGAAGGAGCGGGACTTCAGGAAGGGCTTCGGCGTCGATCCCCAGGGGTTCCCGCACAAGTCGTCATTACTATCTGCCGGTTACCTTGACGACCATCGGCGCCACTCCATCGAGGTGTGCCTCCCGCAAGACTGCATCGCCAGCGATGACCAACACTTGAAGGCGGCGCTCCACAAAGGGAAGGGCAATTTCCCGATGAGGGTGCAGTCAGTCGGGGGCGGACACCGTAAGAAGAAGACGAGCCCCCCGTGCATATCCATCCACCCGCCTTCAGAGAGGGAGCACCCGCCCTCACCCCCGAAATTGGCCGACTGCAGCATGATGCTAAGACGAAGGACGCCGTCTTATGACTTGACTGCACACGCGCAGTCAAACAAACAAGACGCCTTTATGGACACGCAGGCGCACTCGCCGATGCATCGGGCGCTCACGCCCGTCCACGTGCCGCTACAAACACACTCGCCGACACACACGCTCACGCCCGCCTCGACACCCACACACGCGTACACTCCGCCGCCCCCGTCCACCCCGACGCACCCGCCCATCCCGATCAGCCCCAACATCTTCATCCAGCCTCACGCACCTCTCGTTCCGAGGCCTTTCGCACAGACACGCCCCCTTTCGCCCGCCGCGAGGCGCGCCGCCCCCACAAGGGACTGCATCCCGTTGCCCCAATTCACGTTCGACCGCCCGCAGTCGGCGTGCTTGTCGGACGCAGATCCGGCACCGTGCGCTTCACCTTTCGACAACAAACTGGGAACCGGTGCGGGATTCGCCGCCAAGAACCAGAGGACCGCCCAATGAACATCAGGAAGAGGAAGTGAATTCGCCGGGCCCGAATCTCCCGAGCTGGAGAACATGCTGACCTCAGGAGTATAGGAAAGAGTTTTTCGAGAGATGGATTCTTTGGTTCTTGTGAATTTGGAAGATGGCTGTCGTCGAAATCGGCACGACCCATCGGAGAATCACAGACGATGGATCTATCCAACTCCACTTCGGCGGCACCGAACAATTCAGGACGAAAGCCACCTAACTCTGTAGCCAAAGTTTTTTTTTTTTTTGACGCTTTGTCTACTACACCCACGTGAGCCAATCAGGAAGCAGCGTCTGGCTGACAACCTCTGACCTTTGCGGGAAGCAGTTTATGAAGTGCAAGCGTGGGGCGGGATTGTGGGATATGCAAGTTCAGGTTTTCTGCAGAAGTTCTGCTTGCCCCTCCTCTGCTCTTTGATCACATTGATCAGAGCAGGCGCGTGTTTTTTTTTGTATCTGTGCGTTGTTCGAATGAGTGTTTGTATGTTTTCGTATGTCTCTTGTTGTCGTGTCGCCATGTTTTTTTTTTCTTGACACTTCTTTCTTGACAAGAGAGGGGGAGCAGGACGCAGCTGTAGTGTGCGTTTATCCGTGTCTCTGCGGTGTAAATAAAGAAAATACTTTATTTGCTGAGATTAAAATAGCTCTATCCATATGCACATATTTTTATAGAGATCTAAAGTGTTTTTGCACACAAGTTTGAATTTCAAGTTGCTTCTTTTTCCTCGGTTATGCTCTCGTGAATGTACGTTTCCTTTCGAAACCCAGAAAGGCGGAAGAGTGAAGGAGGAAAATTCTCCTCAACGGGGTGAGGATTGGATTTTATTTTTCTATTTTGAAGACTAGCAGAAGAAAATATGCGTGCGATGATGTTTCGGTCGTTGTGTCTCAACTTGGTATGTGTTTGGTGTCTTCGTTCCGGCCTTCGGGGATGGGCTCAGTGATACGGATATATGACATTCGACATTGGACAGATTTTGATTGAAATGATCATTGATTTAAATTGTACGTTAGAATCAAGAGGTTTTGTCTACACACATCAAGTAATCGTTAATGAGCCTGAAACTTCACAAGCTTGGTGAGAATTTGCCCTCCACTGGTTGCATCAACACATTTAATCGACAATATTACCGTGCAGTGATGTAACACAGGAAGACAAAAAAAAAAACAAAATGCAAATCATCGAATGAACCGCTGTAAGTTAGTCCCGTGCCGTTGACCCTTTGCTGTCCCAAGTTGTCGAGATCCCGAAGCCATGGCTAATCAGTTTCAACTTGTCTATTGCATCACTGAGCCTTCCTGCTGAATCGGCTGCTGAGCTCATCAAGTGTTTCTGTACATCGAAGGACAAACAAACTAACTTACTTAGTAGATAAATGTAGCCAGAGTGCAATAACCAACAGTCGAACAACCACAGTCTTATGTTCACACGATACGTCAGAACTATACGATCCGTTTTTACATGAGGATTGGCGTTCTGCGATACTTTTGTCCTTCTGCACGGGGCTGGCAGCAGCCCCGACGTACTGTATAGTTCTCCCAACGCTCAGGCTTAACCACCAATTGTTTTATTGTAAGCGGAGAGAGCGACGGAGAAATGTCACCTTTCGATTCAGCCTCAACACGAACGCGAATGATTTGATGGGAGTGATGAGGAATGGAACTTGAATCCGTAGTTCATCGGATATTGTTTGCTTACTTGAAAATGCTTTATTTCTTGATGGAACTCAAATGGACTCTGAAATATATATTTTTTTGGTGGTGGTGGCAAAATACAGCATTTTCAATGCAGCATGTTTGTGGAGTATGTTCCAGCGGAGCTCACGCAGCCGCAATGATGCTCGTGTTGCGATGAAATCGTCCAACTTGAACATCCTCATCATCGTCGCTAACTGTTTTGTTCAGTGTTCTACTTCATTCCTGCGGGAACACATTGCACCAAATTTTGGATGTAATGCCCCCCCCCCCCAACCCCCTCCCCAAAAAAACTAAACTGGCAGTCAAAAGGTGCGGATGACAAAATATGACAAACACAATCCTAAGCCATACAGTACATGGCAAAGCACAATATGTACATACTGTATAATATTGCATTTTGTCCATAGTCACATAAGAATAGAATATTTATCAAAGTTTTTTTTTTAAAGTGAATTTGATTAAAAAAATAAAATAATTTAAAAAGCAAAGTTGTTACACGAGCTTTTGCAAACAATTAATTGTTAGGTTTATGAATATAAACATTTCTAATTGTGTTGGCAATGATGACCAATACAAGAGTCATACAGTATGTCTGGATTTTGTCATTTGGACCCACACGGTTTCATTTCGAAAACAAGAACAATTTCAAATACTGCCTTAAAATTTAAATTTCAACTCATCTTTGGGAAGGTTTTCAGTGTGATGTATTATGATTAAATCTTCACATGCCTTCCGCTATTCCTTTGATGTTCTCCTGTCGTGTTGTGAACGTGAAACATGATGTGGGCTCAGAAAAGAATAAGTCATATTTGTTGGTCTTGCAGGTCAATCGATGCGGCCATGGCTTATTTGCTCTTGGAGGAACCGTTGTTTGTTGAGTTTATGTCGAAAAAACAAAAAAAAACAAAAGTGGCTCATGGATGATTGAAATATGATATCAAGAAGATATTGTAGCTAAATGATGGATTTGGACTTGTTGCTCAAACACTTTCTGCCAAACGCTGTGTTCTGTTTTCATGTCTTCTTGCACAGATTGTGTGGCTCATGCGAGGTCTTCAGTCTTTTGTTGGACCTAATGCAGTCTAGTCTAAACTCTGTTTTTGCCATCAGCAAGTTCTTAGTTTGGTAGAGTGACTGCATCTTTGTTTTTTATATTATTTGAGGGGTTTTTTTTTGTGTTTTTTTTACAATTTACAGATCTTTGGATCTCGGTATTTAACTCCTGTTTTTGAGGAAGCAGTTTAGGACTATTGCATGTTCTAATCTAGATAAAAATAACCTTTGGGAAAGAATTACCTGGATGTTTTAGAGCTTTTAATATTTGCATTTTCAACTGTTTCCATTTGTAGACGGACTACCTAATAATCTAATTAATTGGTATCTGATATAGTGCTAATTAAAAAAAAAAAAAGCCCGTTCATTATTGTTCAATGCAATACCGGGTGGTTGCTGTACGAGGACAACTCCTCGTCATTAGTTTTATATCCAGACATGTATGGAAACCTGTTGGTCCCGTTGTTCCGAACCAACATTCTTTAATTGTTAAGGTGAGCCTTCTTTTTTTCCACTTGAGCGTTTCCTCATCATACTCTCACCATATTAGAACTTTGCAAAGTATTGACTTGATACGATATATATTTGACGTAGGAATAGTCTCAGCCCTCATGCTCCGTAAAAGCCTCTCGATAGGTTACGGCACATTGCTCTGGCTTGACAGTGACCCGGCCTCAAGGTGAAGCTGACAATCCTCAATCCAACCATGTTTCAGATGCTCAGAAGTTCTGGAAAGCCGAATAGGACAAACCAGAAGTCTTGTTGTCTCTCCCCTCCCCTTTGAATGCCTCGAGTGGCTGACTCGGGCACCTCGAAAACCCCTAGGCCTTATAATGAGGGGAGTCGGTGCCGTGAGGAAGTCTGCAATAAAATTATTTCCACCCCTGAAAGAGTGAGAGAGGAAAGGAAAGGGGGAGGCACGTTGTATCCTTGATGATTATTGTGTGACGGCCTCATTGTCCTGGAGGATGTTCCCTGTCAATTAAAAAAAAAAAAAAAAACGAGTTTTTTTTTTCATTTCAATCAAGCGCTTGGTCTGCTTTATTTTTCCGCCTGAATTTATTTATGGACGATTCACTTTCGTTGGCGTATATCAGGGGTGTCAAACTAATTTTTGTCGCGGGCCATGAAAGCATATAGATAAGTCAAGAATAACGGTTGATTAAACTCCTGTTTAAGTTCCTATCATGAGGGGTTTGGTAACAAGTAAATGCTTAGAATATCTCTCTTATTTATAACATATGAGAGTTTGAATTTTTGGCTGACATTTTAGAAAGCATCATGGAAGTTGACGTGTTTGATCTGCTTTTGCGGGCCACATAAAATGATGTGGTGGGCCAGATCTGGCCCCGGGGCCTTGAGTTGGACACCTTGGCTTATATGCAGACCACGTCATCAGAAATTGGAGAATGCATAACCACACTCATTTCCACGAAAAATGATGTGAAATGTAGCTGTGAAATATGATATCCACTTCACACTGGTGGAGTGGAAGCAAAGTATTATGACAAAAAATACATAAATCAATCGGCGATGAGGTCACCTGACACGATGACATCACACAAGTAGGAAATGCTGTTCGATTAAAAGAAGACGCCATTGAAACGTCATTTGCTATTTTGACGGACAGCCACAGTCAGTTTACAGTAAACCTAAAGTTGAAATCATACATGTTGGAATCGCGTCTCATTATGACGCTGTCTCGCTTTAACGAAATCATGACAATGAAAAGTGAAAATGCGGCTGGGTCGACAGGACAAAAGGTAAGAACGATTACTGGAACAATAAACTAACCATGATGGGACGTATCAGAAAAAAACCCCGATAAAAGTGTTCTTGAAAATACTTGAAATTAAATTCAGTTAATAGTAGCAGTCGTAGTCGTCGTGGTGGTGTGACAGCATTTGTGATTCTGGGTAATTTATTTTCTACTGCAGATAAGTTCTTGAGCGCTAGGTGGCAATATTTAATCGTCAAATAAGGAAACCAACCTGTCAGGATGGCACCGAATTCACTTTGAACAAGCTGGCGTGGTTGACCAAAAGGTCTGTAATGATGATGACTTGTCGAAACGATGTGGCACTTTTCATCTTTGCTTCATACAAGGTGTGTGCGCGTGTGGCATTACGCCATAACCGACTGGGCCCCTTAATCGTTCCATTGAGACATCTTATTCCCGCGGGGGTCTAAAACCATAGTTGAATATTATGCTTTATTAAATTCTGACGACTCAATGGAGCCGGGTCAAATTTAGGTTCACAAAAGAGGTAATCAGTTTGAAATTCATCATTCCTGTTCACAATGCAGTAAAACCCCGAGAGCTCACTGATAATGAAACGTTGGAAGGTCTGTGGGACAAAAGGTGCGAGTGCATGGTCTAATTAAGGTTTGAAGTGCTTGCACACACCCGGGGAGCCCTGGCTGAGGAGGTATCCAGCAGCTCGCCCAGTAACCAAAGAGTTGGCTGTTCCATTCCTGCTCTGTCATTTCACCCACATTGCCTCCAGCGCCACTCACACTGGTATAGTTAATGTTTTCAAAGTCCAAAATGCAGGCTCAGACAAAGTGCAATGACAAAAATATTTATTTAAAAAAAAAACTGCTGGTCACAAGATGCCAGGAGAAACAATGCATGAAACCAAAAGCGCTTGCAAAGGCAAGGTTCAATAGAACACCGCGAATATGCAAACGAAATGTCCAGAAGTTCAATAACACCAAAAACAAAGAGCAATACTAGAATAACAAAAGTATTTAGAAACAACAATCTCTGAGAGCGACTATGAATGGTATTGAGAGGTCTGGAAAATCACATTTTTGCACAACAGCAAGCAAGGTCAATAAGCCGACAAGGCGTCGCAGAAGTCGGGGTCCTGACATACAAAACAAGGCTTGAAGAGGAAACGAGGCACAGGTGCACCTGCTGGAGGGAAACTCCCTTCACCGCAGCTGGAGCTGGAACGCAATCAAGACACAACATGACGTGTCGGACTGGGTTTGAATTTGTTTGGTACCGGTCTGAGGTTCCATAGGCACATGGCAGCCGCACTTCCATCAGCCTGCCCGTGAATGCGCAGCTGTGGCTACAGAACGCAGTTTGCCACCTCTACAACAGGAATGTGTAAGTACATGAATAATGGATCCACTGTGAAGGGTCTTCGTGTGTCCAAAAAACAAAGATCTGTATAAATCTGGGGCGGCTCGCTCGGTGATCGACTGGTTCGCGCGTCGGCCTCACAGTGCAGCGGCGCAGGGTTCGATTCTGGCTCCGGCCTTCCTGTGTGGAGTTTGCATCTTCTGCGCGTGCCTGTGTGGGTTTTCTCCGGGTACTCCAGTTTCCTCCCACAATCTAAAAACATGCATGACAGGCTGATTGACCACTCGAAATTGTCCCTATGTGTGTGTGTGTCTGTGAGCGTGGCTGGTTGTTCGTCTATGTGTGCCCTGCGATTGGCTGGCAACCGGTTCAGGGTGTATCCCGCCTAGTGACCAAAGACCGCTGAGATAGGCTCCAGCATGCCCGCGACCCTTGTGAGTATAAAGCAGTTCAGAAAATGGATGGGTGGATGGATAAATCTGATTAATTATTATTATTACTTAACATTGGTTCCCATGGCTGAACAAACACTGCAACAATAATTACTGATATGGGGTGGAATGAATATTGAGGGATTCTGTAAAGAAAAAAAGGCAACTTCAAATGCTAACACAAAATAATATTCCCGTCTTGCAACCCCCCCCCCCCCCACCCTCATTCACCAACAGCCATTGTACTTAATTTATATTGCCCTCCATGCCCACTTCTCATGGCTCAAGATGGAGTGGATGCCTTTCATCCCGCATTGATCCCTTATATGCACCATTGCTTCTTTGCACCATTTATCAGCTCTGCTGCATGCGCTCCACTTTCCAGCTGAATTGACTCTCGAAAAATTCCCCAAAGACGCGGCGTCTATCCCCCCCCCACCCCTCACCGAAAAAGACGGAATCCCTAAAGTGGTTGTGCTCGGAACAGAGGATAAATGTTGTGAAATTTGCCCAACTCTCCTCGCCCTGAAAGGAGGCTTCATCGAGGGTCCAGCTGCCCTCGGATCTGCAGTGAGAGCGCATGGAGGAATTGACTCACGCACCAGAGCACATTCAGTGCACTCATCACATAAACACAAACGTGCACGACGAGGTAGTGAGGGAGGGAGGGAGGGAGCGAGAGCGCGAGACAGCAAGAGAAAGCGGGTCCCGCGCATGCAACGCTTTGCGGGCTGCAGGAGCTCTCTTGCTGGTCCATGAATGCGCGCGTCCAGCCTGCCTCTTCCTTCTCCTCAGCCCCGGGACGGCAATGACAGGATACCGAGAGCTGCGTGATCTCATAGAGGCTGCTTGAGCCCCCCCACCACCATGCGCGGGGCCGGTAGAGATTGCAGTGGAGAATCAGCAGCCGCAGGCGCACGCACGATGAAAATTGGATTACTACAACATTGATGTTCTTTGCAGCGGCGCCGTCACAAAGTGACAAGAGCGTGGAATTTCACTCAATTCTTGTCATTTTGGGGGCACGCGCGGTGGAAATTATTGCTCTCCAGATATCGGGTGGTTTGTTGCCCCCACCCCCCTGCTGTGCAGCGTTTGAGAGTGAGCACCATCCGAGGCTGCAGGCTTTCGCGGAGGCAAGAGGGGACTGTTGCAATGTCATCTCACGCTACTATTTTGGAGCTCTGTGGAAGGGACATGTTGTAAGTAGTTGTCTTTTTTGTCCCCCCCCCCCTCCCCCGAATGTTGCATGGTGGAGCTCCAACACCTTCTCCAGCCGTTGCTGATGCGCTCTGCGGGTAACCCCACAGGCGTCCCCAAGCCAAAGTGCGGCATCGACACCACACCACATCAACCTGATTTTAATCCAACCGAAAGGAAAACTATCTCATCAACGATGCGAATGAAAATTAAAGTAAATGTCCGCATGGCGCAGATATAGACTCTAATTGGCTCATATTTCATCCAGTTGCGCAGTGAGGGGAGCGCAGGCTGCTTTGAGGCGACATCAATGTAACAGCACTCCCCTTGTTGCCTATTTCGACACCTATCGTCTCCTAAAATCACGAGCACCTTTTACCTGATAGAAAACGTGAAATCAAACGCGCAGATCTCTCGTACGATCGTCCAAATTCATCCTCGCGTATTCATAATACGAGAGGCGTCCAATTTGATAGAACACGTTGTATATTAATGAACAAACGAGGTAAAGCATGGCTATGATGGAGTTCTCCAGTTTCCATCTAAATTAGTTGATTTCATCTTGCTGGGACAACTTTTACTTCGTGCACGTCCCATCCCAACAATCGTTGTCAGTGATGTCATTCGTAACCCCTTCCTTTCGATTCAATAAGTACATCGTGAGTTGTGATATTTTGTCGAACTCTGTCGGAACGTGATGTAATCCATTATGAGGCTGGGAAAAAAAATTATATTTTAAGACCACGGACGAGTCTTCGTCGCGGATGCGGGAGGCAGTCCCCTTATTAACCAGTAGGGGTCGACATTGTATTGTGTTGGCTTCGTTGAACCGACTTGAACCTCCCTCCCTGTTCTCGGGCTCTAGTCACGTTGTTGGAGCGCAGTTCTCTCCTCCTCCCTCTCGGTAAAGGCGTCAGCTGCAGCCCATGGAGGGCCAATCCATATTTCTTTGACAGAAAAAGGAAATAAAGTATTAACCCACACACCGCCTCCTCCACCCCATGCAGACTGAGGCCAACGCGGAAGCATTTTTGCCTTCTGGTTTTGCTGCCTACCTGAGAAAAAGTAGAAAAGTTTCAATGTGATGGGATTCTATCACATCTGAAATTATAGTATACAAAGTGGCAAATAATTCGGTTGAAGACGACCAAGTCCATCAGTCAACTGCATGCTAGTTACTGTGCTCCATATATTTTTGTGATTAATGTTCATGGATGTCGAAATGGTGTCGTAACCCTTTGGAGCTTCATTCATTGTTGACGCTCCACTGAAGTTGCCCCCGGGTGTCAGTTGTTGTCATTCTGCATGTCACTCCTGCGACTGACTGAGATGCATGAAGAGCCCCTTGACCACGCAAAGGATCAAATGAAAAGGCTTGATGGGAGTCCACACGCAGCTTCTGAAATGTTCACGCTTACTGAAAATGATTCTTGAAATCGTGTGGAGGCAAAGAACTGCTTCAACTACAAAGTGTATCCAAGAGAATCACAACACCAATGGTCCAAACTGCTTTTTGTCTCAATCGAGGTCAACTAATAAGTTTTTAGTGGCTAATTAATCATTTGAAATCTTTGTCCCAACTGAAAACGGATTCAAGAAGACGGCAATAAAATTGCCTTCCTTGCAACCATTTTGAATTTGATTACAGTCAGTGAGATGAAACGCTCTTGCGAGACTTGGTCGATTGTTTTGTTTTGGTGAAAAAGGTAATTGAACTTCCTTCTTTTGCTTCCCGTACTCTCTTCTCTGCCATCTGCTCAGTGCGACGGGCACTCGCACTCACGAGAAGCCCAGCGGAAGTAATCGTCTGCTACGGCTCAGGCCTCAACATGTCTCCCCGTCGCACATCCCTCTTGAGCTATACACGACCTCACATATTCACAAGAGCAGCACCTGTACTGAACACACGTCAGGTGTATGTCACAGCTGCCCAAAAAAAGAGTTTGTATTCACCAAATGATTATTTTCATAGCGTGTGCCTGTAGTGGGGAACCATATGTACGGAACCATCCATCCATCCATTTTCCGATCCGCTTTATCCTCACAAGGGTCGCGGCGGGTGCTGGAGCGTATCCCAGCCATTTTCGGGCGGTAGGCGGGGGACACCCTGAACCGGTTGCCAGCCAATCGCAGGGCACACAGAGACAAACAACCATCCGCGCTCACACACACGCCGAGGGATAATTTCGAGTGGTCAATCAGCCTGTCATGCATGTTTTTGGAATGTGGGAGGAAACCGGAGTACCCGGAGAAAACCCACGCAGGCAGTCAGAATGAGCCTTTGAGGTGTCATTGCGGTTTGTCTTTCTGGAATACAAGTGGTGGATCCTGGAAGGAAAATATGCGATGATCTGTTTGAGTCCCTTCATGCGATGCTTTTGATGTTTGTTTATTTCAAAGCAATAAAATGTTTCTTCGGGACGTTAAAACCGTGTTCGAATGTGCGGTTAAGATGAGGACAGATGCTGCTCCGTCATGCTATGAGGTGTCAGCTGAGGTGGCAAAGGCATCTGATTCAGGTGAAGCCCTCGGGCGCCTCTCGTTGGAGGTGTTCCAGGCGCACAGAGCAAAGATGGACAACTGATCTGACCTGGGAGCTGTTTGAGTCTCACCTCGGACAAAGGGTGTGAAATCGGGGTTACCTCTGGCCGCCTTGCACGGATACGTCGTGCACAATCGGAGGCGATGCGCTAAAACTGCTTATTTACGAATTGTGTTGTCATTGAGCAACACTCCAAACGGTCAATGAGAGAGTCATCAGAGTGGGAAAACATCCTTAAAATATCCCGAGCAATTTGATGAATTCCTCAAAAATCACCCAAAGAGGAGTTTTATTGAAGAGAAAAGGACATTATTCAATATAATAACGTGGGAATAGATACTAGGAAGGAAAAACTAGGCAAAGTGAAGAACAAAAACGTGAAGAGAAGAAAGTTGTCATAAGATGTGGAAAAAAAACCAACATTCCAGGCAATCTTCTGCAACCTCCAACATATCTTCATAAATGCACACAACTAAGTCCTCTGGGTCTTCTGGCCTCAGTAAAACATGCGCTAAGCATCATCTGTACCAAGCATCCTGGCCCAGACTTTGTAAATAAATCATACGCATTGATGTATAGAGTACATAATGTAATTTTAATGCCGGTTAGAAGATACAAGGAAGAACGATCATGACTGCGGCGGTAAATGCAGTCATATTAATCATCATGTAAAGAGATATTGCAAGCTGAATTATTGATGCAAATCTAAGATGGTTATGTGTGAACCAGAAAAGAGGATTTGTGGAGGTGAAGGCATATGGTTGGAATGGCAGCCTGCAGGAGGAGACGCTTGGGTTATTTTATTTTATTTTTTGGTACAGTTGTGTACAAGGGCAATCATACAACCCCTTGCTTTTTGGTAGCCGTCGAGTGTGTGTGTGTGTGTGTGTATTGTGTTTGCGTGACTGGTATCCATGATGACGGCTGCGCTTGCCAAACATTGTTCACTGTTGTGGTGCCAAAAGCGGAGAGCCTTTGTGTGACGCCATACTGCTTCAATTCCATTTGGCTGGGGATGCTCGCATGCTCGGCTCACTCGACGGCTTTCTTCCTTTTTCCTTGCATGTGAGCAATTCCCTTTTTTTTTAAAAAAAATTGCATTTACTCCAGTTTTACGAGTACATGCCCTTTTTTTTTCAACTTTTTCCGTTCATCCCCTCCACCCCGTAAATGTTTGGAAGTTGTCTAAATTGGAATTTGATCCTTTACTAGATCACCGGCACCTTCTTACAATGTTTTGCCCACCTCAGCGGGCTGGCATTGCAGCACTGTTCTCCTCGGCGGCCGCTTGGAGTGCCGCATTTATTCCAGCAGCCTTCAGGAACTCGCTTTTCAATGAAGATATCAGAAGACATGGCCAGAAGCTAAAGAGGCCAATAAATATGCACGTTGCAATCTACTATAGCATAGTAAAGATAGATATGAATAAATCAGGCGTGGAAAAAAATATGAACCTCGTCTTAAAATGTTGCTCATTACTGCGGCATGGCGGCGAGTGACGGGAAATTAGAGAACTGCCGGGGAGAGGATGGCACCAAACAAATAGATGAAAGGGAAGTGCAACTGGGAGGTGATAAACGAAGGCAAATTCAGCCACAATAAATTATCACATTTATTCTAAGTGTTGACATCTGTTTCATTTGGCCAAAACAGCCCCATTTCTGCCGGCTTTCCGTTTTATCTTCAGTTCCGCGCATACGCTGGAATTGCTTTCCCCCCCTCCTTTTGAACGCACTCAAGCCTTTCCACAGCGAGAAGAACAGAGAGCTGAAATGGACTGGGTCGGATGAACAGCAATTATTATTCACGTGCCGTGGCTGACCTGCTGCTTTTATTCCACAGAGTGTTACATTTTTTTCAAATGCAGAAAAAGACTGGCCTCTTTCATTTTCCTCTGGTTCCAAGTCGAGTTCTTGTAGGCTAAAATGCCACTCGTTATAGGCAGATGCAGGTGACAGTGCATGACACGACAGTTTTTTTTTTTTTTTTTACATAGTTCATCCATCGATTTCTGATACCGCTTATATTCACTTGAGTTGTCAATGTAAATTTCTGCCCTGTTTCATGTCAAAGGGTCACTTTGGAAACTTTGTGCGGGGCCATGCGAGACTGTGTGTGGTCATGTGACTGCCCAGCTTTGTTTGATTGGTGAAAAAGAGTCGCTCGTAGTTCATTGGATTGGTGAAACAGTCATGTGACGCAACCCAAAACGGATCATGCGCGTAAAAATAAATGCCCGTAGATACAAACACTCGTTTCTTTTGAAACGTCGCGCCCGGGGAAGCGGCGACTAACACCACTGCTTTCATCGCCTGAGGAAAAGTAATCGTGTCAATGACTGATTCACTTGTCACGGGGGCTTATGGTGGTCCTGAAAATAATCACAGTATCATTTGAGCAGGACTGCGGGCATAGTAGTCAACAAAATAATACTTCACAAGGGGTCAAACTGATTCATTGATGAGAGCAAAACTACATGGGAGCTCCCATGACTTTTCGGTAAAAGGAGATCAATGTCAGGAAGCCATTTGGAATTGCTGCACTCTCTCCAGTGAAGAGACCTAGATTTGGATGATTCATCCTCGGGTCTGCTTTAACGATATTTAATGCTCAGCTAGGCACCGGGGACATGGGTTCCGCTGCTTCTTTTACAAAACACACAATGACAAAAAAAAAAAAAAAAAGTGTCCTTGTATTATTCAGCTCACAACACAGCACGAAAATCCGAAGCGATGACGGCCCTTTTCGAAAAGAAAATAACCTGATGTGATGTGGAGAACACAACCAGAATGCCATTGTACCTTCGAGGTTATTAAACTGAAATATGACTTGTTTCTTGATCCGTACATTTCACTTAAAAATAGATTTTTGGAAATGGACCTTGCAAACCTGCTCTATATGCTTTCCTTCAGTTGGTATTAAATCTATAGAGGCGTCCCTGCCTCCACAAAAAAATCATAGCAACATAAATAGTGGAGTTTTTGTTCCTGACCCATGATCCCATCTTTAATCTGTTCAGATGTGAACAGAGAAAAAAGGACGACTAACTTCTCACCCAAGACGGCTCTGCAATGACACCAAAATATGTCGGGCTGTCATCTGTCACCGCATCCTTAAATTGTCAGCAGTGCACAACAATCTGGCCATATGTTTCATGTCCTTCTGACTCCCCCTTCGCCCCCCCTCTGTCTTTCATGCTCTCTGAGCATCGGGTGTCCAGCGAGTCTCTCTCGAGAGATGAGGGTGTAAATTGTAGAGCATGTGAGACAATGATGTCGATGTACTTTTTTTTTGCCCCGGTTGGTGCAGAGGGGCTGATGTCATCCTTCCATGTCTTACCTGGCACCGTCACACCGATTCATGCACTGTCTCATCACATTATCATACTTTTAAGGCAATCCCAGTCCACATACAACCATCTGTACCACCTCAGGAAGCGTTTTTCATGAGCGTTTAATTGGATTTGGTTGGAATAATTAATTAGTAGATGCTTTAATTGTTGGGGGAAAACCTTCAAACTGGATGTGAAAGAACCGTAAACAGTAAATGAGATCTCAAAATGTAGCAAAAATGGCATCCCATGAATCGATTATTTTTCTCATGCAGGCTGTGTCATGACATAATTTGATTTGGACTTCAGTAAAGATAGCAAATCAGTTTTGATAGCATTTTTTAGGCTAAATGGCGGATTCCCAAATGGAAGGAATGTTGGTTTTCTATTTGCAGTGAATGACACCCTTGTCTTTTATTTTTGTAAACATTTTGGAAATGAAGCCTCATTTCTACTGCTCAGTACTTACTTTCAATGCAGCGGTTGACTCTTTTCCAATGGCAAACTCGAGTGCAAAGAGGTTGTGCTGTTCAACAATCGAAAGAAATTTTCATTGGAGCGGCTGTGCCAAAGGGGCAGCCGTGGGTTGAGAGTAAAGCCTTCCGGTCCTCGATGAGTAGGAGTTACACCGCTTGCTAATTTTTGTCGCGTAAAATAGCTAGCTGTAATAGCTGTTGTTGTTTTTGCCAAGTGGAGAGTAAACTGTTGACTCAGCTCATCTTCGACTCAATCACAACACTTTCACAAGGTCCCATTTCTACTATTTGGTCAGCTGGGACTTGTGCCAATCCGATAACACACGTGTGACCCTAAACCACTTTTGGTTGCTAACGTAGCGAGCGGATTCCTAATCACCATGCAACTGTAACACTGAGGACAGCGGAGGGCATTTGAAATCAACTGTGTAAACGGCAGTTCACACACCTGTAGGTTAAATACCGTGTAAATAGCCTACCCAAGTCGCCTCCATATGAACAATCCGAGCCGAGTAGTTGTGACTGGAAATTTTACACTTGTGAGTCATCTCGTATGTCTCCCGACCATCCGCAACCTCCAGCGCATTCCCCCCGCTCGTATGCGTCTGACACAATCCCTCAAAGAATTGCACTCTGACAAAGCCTCTTTTCTCTTACGCAGGGGCTGAAGTGGTTCGGAAGTATGTCCCTCAGCAGCAGAAGCAAGAGGAGGAGCAGAAGGAGCAGCGGTTGGGGCCGTGGCGGTGACGGTGGCGGTGGCAGTCATGCTGCGCTGCTTTCCTTCGCTCTGCTGGTGGTGGTGACCTACATCACCAACCCTGCGATAGCTCAAAAGCAGCGAAGTGGAGGTGCCGCTGAGAAAGTGCCGGTCCTAAATATCGCGGTGATCCTGGGGCGCACGCGTTACATCTCCGACCGAGACATCCGGGCGCTGTGGAGCAAGGAGGAGCCCATTGACGTCAATGTGGTCAGTCTGCTCGTGAACGAGACCGACCCGAAAAGCATCATCACCCACGTGTGTGACCTGATGTCCGGGACTAAGATCCACGGCGTGGTGTTTGGCGATGGCACGGACCAGGAGGCCATCGCCCAGATATTGGATTTTATTTCCTCGCAGACGCTCATACCCATCCTGGGCATCCACGGGGGCTCATCCATGATCATGGCGGATAAGGTATGGAGCAATGCTGGAATTTTACATATGTTTGATGGAAGTCTGGTTGGTTTGCTGCTCATGATGCATTTATGCTTGATACGTTTGTGCGCGGACTGCTGTGTCGTGAAGAGTGAATGGGGGCACCGGTAGATTTTTGTTTCTCTATACCTTAGTTGCTAGCATTTCTGCTGCCAGAATTGGAGTGAAGTATTCTGCATCTTTTGCGAGTTGTTTCCTGACGGGGAGCATTGTCACTGGAATCTTTCAAGTGCCAGTCGAGCTTGTATCTGTGCACCGCCAAGAGTGTAGATAAATAGAGTAAAGTGGTGCAATGTGGCAGAAGGCAAGCAGAAAAGGTAAGTAACCCCGCCCCGCCGCCCCAAAAAATAACTTTTTTTTTAAGTGTATGAAGTGCACCCAAAGCCTGTTCAATAGGCGTGAATTTCACTTGAGAAAAAGGTATTACAATTTCCTTTGAATGAATGCACACAGGTTCAGACAGAGTCGGGCATTCAAAAGCAGACGTGAAAGGACGAGAAAACATGGCTGAAGCTTAGTGAAAATGTTATGCCAGAGTACACAAGCACCTGCCTCTGCTGCAAAACCCAGCTGGTAGTTGGACCATTACTTTGTCATGTGCAGTCGTGTGAATTTTTTTTTTGTTTTGGGCGCACACCTCTTTATATATAAACCGGTCGATTAATTTCACCCTAACTCCATCAAACAGCAACTCACTCATTCTGCTCTTCTCATTCACGCAGTCGTTCACTCTAGACTGCATACTGTACATCACATCATTTACTATTGGGATGGTCGTACATTTTTGTTTCACATAAGTTCATCGTTTAGTGGAAGCTCATCACATTCCGTTGATGAGCTTCCGATGAAGATGTTCGCTTCTATTTGGCCAGCATATCCCACACCCACACCCACACCCACATTCATCCCCTTTTGCTTTTCAGGTTAAGCTCCTATTTGTGTATGGTCATGTGGAACTCCCATGAGCCACAACGGCGTTTCTGGCGATTTCATCAGATGTGCGACATCGACTTTTCAATCATCTCCTGAGACGCACTGTGAAAAGTGTTGTGCGAAGTGCTTCTTGGTTTTGCAAACGTGACTCTGGAGATTTTTAGTCATGTAAGCTAAACTCGAAATCATTCATAATATTTAACAAGCGTGATGAAATCTCTTCAATATCATCATTAAATAACTTAGGCAGGGGCAGCTGGGGATAGAGTGCGGCTGTTTCTCGGCCACATCAAGTACTCCACAAAAAAAAGAAAAAAAAATACACCTAATCAAATCTTCTCAATGTTTATTAATAACAGTTCCGAAAACGAACGGTTCTTCAGGACCTGAACAACATTGGTAACAGAGTCCCTGCTCTCGTCTCCCTGGTACATAAGTACTGACGGTTGATTTCTTGAGCACCGCAACTTCCTCCTATGCGTTCAAGACATGTCGTGCCCCAGGGTGTTCAGCAAAAAAAAAAAAGTCTCGTCACCAACCTTTCACTTCATGGCAGGTTTTGAAAAAAAAAAAAAAAAAGACATGACTGAGACCGGGTGACAGCATATCTTTAGCCTCCACTGTGTGTCACTTCAGTTACGTTTTGCTGAAAGCTGTCACGAGCACGAGCTATGGTAGCCCAGAAGTGATTGAAAGAAGAAAAAAACCCACAGAGGGCAATGAGACGGCAAAGAAAAAAAATGGGGGGGAAGCCACACTAACATTAAGCTTTGGTGTCAAGGAGGGGGGCCGCAAAATATGGTCTTGTGGATCACAAATGGACCCAGAGCCACAAGTTTGATACTTACGCTTTAGATTCTCCGCAACAGATTTGTACTACTTTAAGTCCGCGCTCGCATGAATCTTTGCCTTTGCTGCTTTTCGCCTGTTTCGTGGCCTTCAACTTTAAGTGCCAATAGGTTGGGGTGGGGGGGGGGGGGAAGGTTGATGTGTTTTTCCCCTCTGAAGTGGAAGTATAGTGGAGTCTTTTCCCCGCCTTGTTCCATCCAGATTTTGCCTAATCCTCATGTGAAATATGAAGAGAGGCTCGCCTCCGCTGATTACGCCTTGTAAGAGCCTCACGATGTTTGTCTCGTCGTGATTACGCCTTCACGCTGTGTGTGAAATGTCCCCGCGAATACGCTTCATCGGCTCCGTGTGCCCTCCGTGTACGCATCTGAGAGTGGAGCGTTTCCTCTTCCCGTCACGTGGAGGTTAACTCGCTTTCGTACGAATGACTCCCGGTCAAAGCCGCGGGAAGGGATTGAGAATTTGATTTGAAAGCACTTCCCTTCAAGCAAGCAAGACAAATGTTGCCACAACTTTGCGTTCGTCCCTTTCAACCATCCAGCAAACTTTTTTTTTTTTTTGGTCAAACATTGGATCATTTTCCTGTATTATTGATTACAGAGAGAAATCCTTTTCTCTTTCTATATTTGAAGTCACTGCGCTTGATTGTTAGGCGGGGGGGAAAAAAAAATCAATCGCCATTTTGATGTTTTGGATTGAATTTCTTCATGCTTTTGACTCGTACTCTCTTTTACTTGCTTTCTTGCATCAACGCTTTCATTCTTGCACGCTCTCATTCCTTCAGCGCTTTAATTGTGTGGGTAGATGTCTGGCCCTGACTTGTTCTTGGGCTTCATGCAATTCTCGCACTAAATTGACTCTCTCCAAAGGCTGTAATGCCGACTGGATCGCGTTACTCACGAACGCTCTTCATTCTGCATCTTATAAGACGATTTGCATGGCGTGACTCACATCTACTTACCTGACGTGCCGCCACCCTTCATTTGCCTGTTGTCTTCCGTCGCTACAGTTGCTTTCTCCCGATGTTTTGGTGATATATGTCATGATCATGAAGCATCACGAGGCGCAGAATGAAGCAGTTGAGAGACATTTCTTTGCCAACAAAATTTCATGAGGTCATCGTGTTGTATAAGTCATCCGTGTGCGGCCGCTTGCTTCTCTACTTCTCCCCGTGGTCACAAACGTTAGAATACGGCCGTTATCAAAATGTGCAATCCCGCCATTTCCAAGGCGTCGCTTCACGCCATTAAGATTCGAGCACACGAGTGACACCATCCTTGCCATCAAACCTTTTGGCTACCTTGGCAAATGTGTCGGGATGGAAAAGACTCCGAGAACACAGAAACGTGAGAATATTTTTTCATCACATAACCTCATTACAAATGCATAACCTCAATCTAGGGCAGACGTCAGATTTTTTGACAAGTCAGTTGGTTGCTAATTTGCATAATCTGAGACGCATAGATGGACAAGCGTTTTATAGGAGCCAAAAATGACTTCACCCAGAAAGGGCGGAGCCGAAATCAAACCTTGCATCTCTGCGTTGCGAGGCGAAATTGTGCTGCCCGGCAATACAGTTCATTGAATATATTCCGACAGTAAAAGAAGTCAAATGCCCCTAAAACTGGTCACATTTCAAAAACATTAACCAAATTACCCAATTGTTCGAAAATATGCTTCTTTTTTCTGGCACATCATTGAACGATTTCATGAAGTGTGAATCGTGCTTAAAAAAAAAAAAAAATTGACTTTTTTCCATACAGTTTATTTCTCTGCATGTTTCCTTCCAGAAAAGGATTACCTTCAATAAATAAAGAAATAGTGCAAGCCAAGGACAGTCTGAATACGTGCTAAATGTATTCGATAAGAACGTCGTAAATATTATAAATACAATGCTTCACACGACCATGAAGCCTCGCCGTACATTTCATTTGTCGACGCCGGCACGCACTCGTGCGCCTCGTTGGCGCCGCGATGAGACGCTCGAGGCCGAAAGGAAAAGTTTTTGCCGCAGCGTCGACGCCGACTGTAACAAACGTGTGCGCGAGCGCGTGCGGCCTCGTGTGCCCGTGTGTGTTGTACTCTGATCAAAGAACATTACTTCCCCATTTCTGTTGCCGTCTCCCCTCAGGCGGTATCATTACACACGTGTGCACGAAAACAGATGCACGATGATGCCTGGCTGTTTTGTTGTGTGTCAAATAAATAGCAAAGAGACTGAGGAGGGAGTGAATGCAGCGTGATTTATGTCCAATTACTGTTTTGGGGACGTTTGTTTTCATTTGGCTCAACTCCCACTGTCATGCTGCTTGAACATCTTCCCTATGCTAAACTAGAGCTTCCCTGAATGCTCCCTTGTACAAACACAAATACACACACACACCTCTGTGGATGTTCATCAGGAGTGTGCGTGCTGAGTTTGTGTCGACATACTCATCAATATTGGCGTCTATAATTGGCCGCGCGTGTTTGTGTCGAGGCTAATAACGGCGTCGCGGCGCTCTCGCGTCGCCCATTACCTCGCTAAGACGTCTCTCACTGAACAATTACCATTCTTTCGCTCCAGGTTTTGAATTTACCATGAGTGTGTGTCACGAATAAACATCTTTGAGTGTGTGTGCGCATGCAACTATGGAATACGGGCATTGCGAGAAGAGGCTGTTAGAGTAGATCCAATTTCAAGAAATCGAACCGCTTTGCTGCTTCCGCGAGCATGTTTGCGAACCGCCACCCTTTTGCGTACCTGAAGGTCGCCCTTTCCAATTCCCTGTCATTTTGCATTTCTGGACATTTCTCCCTAATGGCAACAGTTGACGTTTATGTCCCATTACGGCGTTGCGCTGTCCCTTTCATCTCTCTTTCGCTGCATTTGAAGCTGTTAGCGCAGTCGGGTCAGCAGCTGTAAAAGCTGTAATGAAATCAACGCAATGGCTTGACCCGACATGGTAAGAATTAAAAGTTACGACCCATTTCAATCAAATCCATCTCATCCAGTGTCATTTTGTAATAATTGGCAACGGCTCAAGATGGAAGTGCCAACCGGGTTAGCCGAGACGGGCGACACGGAGGATAGCGGTTTTCATGTTGTCCTTTACATTGTGGTCTTACTTCACAGTTCTGAATTTTCCAATATAGGCACTGTGCCATTACAACCGTCATTTGGAGTTTTTAGCTCCAGTGTTCTTCGGGATACTTTC